GGTAAGGGCCCTCCGAGGCCGAAAATGGCGAAAAACCTCCCGTCAAGATTTTTTCATTACTCGAGGGGGTCTGGGACCTCTGGGGGTCGACGTGTGAAAAAATCATCACGTCGGGGGTCTGGGGCGAGCGGTGGCCCGGGAGGGCCCGGGGGCGCAGCGGGGCATGCCCGCCTCCGCGCGCCCGCGCTCGGGCGCCCCCGGCTTCCCCGGGGCCCCTTGTCCGAGGTCGTGCGCGCCCTTTCTGTCGCGGGATGGTCCAGAGGATGCTGCTCGACGGTCCGCGCCCCCCCCCTCAAAAAAATGCACTCGCCCGAGCGATGCCAAGGCATCGCCTCCACGAGGTGAGGAGGTGCGGCCTGCCCGGCGGTTGCGCCGAGCCCGTCGTTCCGGCGGGCCGCAGCCGCGGGGAAACGACTCGGGGGCAGGAGGGGCGCGGAGGGGGCCAAGACTTCGCAGGCGCCGGCGGGGTCTCCAGCCCAGCAAGCCACCTCGATGTCAGTAAGGGGGGTCGAGGATCGACGAGGAGGTGACCGGGCACTTGGGGAAGGCTGCCTCGGCGGGCGGATGGGCGTAGGGGCGTTTGCGAGGCTGCCCCGGAACGAGCTCTGCAACTTCCGGGGTCGAACGCGAACCGCGCCAGCGCCAGCATGGGTTAGAGCCAACTTGGGGCTACCCCCGGTGACTGGCGCTAGCGCTGCGCAGTGGAGCCGCTTGCGTGCGTTCAGCCGCGATTGCCGAGGAGGCACCGCTCGAGAAATGATCGTAATGGGACACCACGTTTGACCTCGAGTGCACGACACCAACCGCAGAAAACGATACAGAGAAAAAAAGAGAGAGAGGAGGGCGAGAGAGAGAGGGAGAAATGTACACCGAGCACGGCGTCCAAGATGCGAGCCAAGCCTTTGGGGCAAGCCTGGGACCCAAAGGGGGAACCTCCCGGGCAAGCCCAGAAACATTTGCCCGAACGAGTTGAGCGGGCCTCCAGGTAGAGTGGCGAGTCCAAGGTCTTACTTGAACGCCTCATCTCACCGCGGGCCCGCGGGCCTTGTGATGATCTCCGTGACGGTGACCAAGAACACGGTATTAAGCGGCGTTGGGGAAGAGGGCAGGATGACCCATGAAGAAAGATGATGATACTGCTGATGATGATGCTGATGATGGTGATGATGATGACGGTGATGATGCTGCTGATGTTGCTGGTGATGATGATGGTGATGCTGCTGCTGTTGATGATGACAACTGGCGATGACGGATGATGACGTATGATGAGGTTGATGCTGCTGCTTATGATGATGATGATGATGATGATGGTGATGATGGTGATGATGGTGATGGAGGTGGTGATGATGGTGGTGAAGACGATGGTGGTAGTGGTGGTGATGGTGATGTTGATGGTCTGGAGGCGGAGGGAATCTCATGAGGAGAAGGGGGAGGAATATGAAGAGGGGGACCATGAGGATGAGGGGAGGAGGAGGAGGAGGAGGAGGAGGAGGAGGAGGAGGAGGAGGAGGCGAAGGAGGAAACTGATGCATCAAACCTATATGGGTTGCATTCAGAGCCTGGCGCGGGCTGACACAAGAGGTCCATCTTGGTGCCCGTGCAAAAAATCGAAGACGAAGGTGGTGGAGAAGGAGGGTACGGAGGGAGAGGATCATGGGTGTGTATGTATATGTGGTGTGTGTGGGGGGGGGGGGGGCGAGGGGGAGGAGCAACAAGAGCAGGAAAACAGTGTTGGCGGGTGGAACAGGACGCGGAGGATGAGGATAATGATCGTGGTGGTGATGGTGGGTGAGTTGATGAGATGGGTCAGGTTGATCGTGGTGGCGATGGTGTTCGCGCTGGCGATGAGGAGCAAACGCGCAACAGTGATGGAGGGAAACGGACAACAAACTGTAGGATTGTGCTGTCTTCGTTGATGATGGTGGTGATGATGATGATGATGAGGAGGATGATGATGACGATGACGATGACGATGACGATGACGATGATGATGATGATGATGATGATGATGATGATGATGATGATGATGATGATGATGATGATGATGATGATGATGATGACTATGAATCTGATTATGATGATGCTCATGATGGTGCTGCTGCAGCTGATGGTAACGATACTGATGATGCTGATGATAATCATTCGGGGGCGGAGGGAGACGCTGGGTCTCCCCGCGCCATCCCCGTATGGCTTGTTTGGGCGCTCAGCGCCTTGGGCAGGATGGCGTCGACCGACACGCAGGCCACGCCAACGCCCTCGCCCGTCACTGCCAGGGTGCCCTCGCCGAGGGGGAGGTGGAGAAGGAGGTGGAGGAGGGAGGGACTACTAGCAGGAGGGGGGGAGGAGGGGGGGAGAAGGAGGGGAAGGAGGCCGCGGAGAAGGGGGAGTAGGAGTAGGAGGGCGAGGAGGAGCTGGAGGACGAAAACAAGGACGAAAGAGGAGGAGGAATGAGGACGCAAATTCCGGTTAAACCATCAGCATGGGAATTGTGGAATCAGCAAACGAGGCGCCGGCGGTAAACTGTGAACGCTGGTTTCCGCCAGGCAACTCTCCGAGCTTCTTGTCCTGTACATTGACGTGCCCTACTGATGGTCCCCAGACGAGCTCGAAACAGAAAAATGCTTGCAACGCGAAACTAGCATTCCGAGTATAGCTCGACTGCTGAATCGATCTCAGCGCTCTCGAGCTAATAGACTTGTGCATTGAGCAATTCTGCATTACTTCCGATTGGAAATCCGCCTTATAGCTGCTCTCTAAGTCTTGAGATTTCCAACGCAAGCAGCATAATAGGTGCAACGCCTTACTCGCTTCTCGAATCTAGCTTGCCGAGAAAACCGATTTCAACGATCTCGATGTGGTAGACCGATGCGTTAGATCACGCCCGACCGATTAGTATACCGAGTAGCTCTGTAGCTGATCATAATCTCGGGATCAAATCGAACTACCACACGCGTGTCGAACAGACGGTCTCAAGGCGACTTGCCAACATGATACCTTTCCCGCTTCAAAGCGGTAGGACTGCGCTGATATCTAGATGGTGGACAGGAAAAAGGTCGTAGCTGCCCAAATAAACTGTCACACCCCAAACGAATTGCCAGATCTCGAGCAATCGATTCTCAACCGCCTTTCTGTTATCACTTCTTCCGTCGAATATTTTCGGCCAACGAACCTGGATTTGCTCTAGCTTCTGTAGCTTCGGACTTAGAGAATCTCTGCAAGTAATTCTGGGCGGCTTATGATCTCATCTTCTGTAGAAAATCGAGAAAAGGCCACCCGCGAGAGGTAGACACGATGGGAGGCGAGGGACAGTGCGGGGGAGGGGCCACGAAGAAGAGGAAGAGGAGGTCACGACTAGAGGTGATGATTATGATCAAGATGAGGAAGAGCGACGGGACTCGGGGGGCGCAAGCGGTGTCAGCTGGTGCGACTTCAGCGGCGGCCGTGGCTGTCAAGGCACTTCTAGATTGACGGCGAGGGCCTCGGAGTTCGCGATGGCATCGGAAGAAGAGGAGGAGGGGGAGGGGGAGGAGGAGGAGGAGGAAAGGGAGGAGGAGGAGGAGGAGGAGGAGGGGGAGGAGGAGGAGGAAAGGGAGGAGGAGGAAGAGGAGGAGCAAAAGGAGGAGGACGAGGAGGAAGAGCACGCGGGCCACGCGTGACGTCCCTGTCTGCACCGGCGAGCCTGGGTCGGCGGAGCACCGCGCCAGGTGCCCGTGGCATGCCGCCGGCATGTCGGCCGCGGAAGCCCGTTGGCCCGCAGCGTTGCCCCGCCCGCGCAGAGCGGCGGCCGCCCCTCGACGCGCAACGCGTGCCTGTCCGGAGGCGAGAAGCCGGAGAGCAACCGCGAGGCTCCAATGATGCGGCCGGGGTCTGCTGCCGCTTTGCTGTAACCGCCCGCCTGGGCGGGCCAGTCCTGCCCACGCGACATATAAAAGACAGACGCTAGCAAAGCAATGCCTGCCCGTAACGACGATTGCCCGGGCCACCTGCTGAGGGTTAGGAGGAGGAGGAGTCGGGCACGAGAGTCGGGCAGCGAAGCCATGGCCCAGGAAATCGGCAGTGGCCCGCGATTCGGGCGCGGCCAAAGAGAAAAGCAATGGGGCGGGAACTCGGGCTGCTATAACGATGCGCGCTCACCCACAACAGACATCGGCGCTGAGCCGGGAGCAAGGAGAAGCGAGGGGAGGAGGACGAGGAGGGCGAGAAGGAGGGGGAAGAGGAGGAGGAAGAGGAGGAGAAGGAAGAGGAGGAGGAGGAGGAGGAGGAGGAGGAGGAGGAGGAGGAGGAGGAAGAGGACGGGGAGGGTAGAAACGTGAGAATCCAGTCAAAAGCCAGGGGCAGTGCGCAAGGCGACCTGACATCGGCGAGCCGGCGCGCGCATCCAGGGACTGGGAGAACTGGCAAGAGTGCAGACTTATAGACCCCAGTGGCCCAGAGGGCAACGCTGCTAAATCCACCGCGGGGGGAGAAAAGGAGAGAGGAGCCAAGAGGAGGAGAGGAGGAGGAGGAGGAGGAGGAGGAGGAGGAGGAGGAGGAAAAGGGGGAAGGAGAGAGCGCAGCTCGCGCGCGCGCAGACCGACGACTCTCTCGGCTACTTCTTTGGCGTCGCAGCGCGGCAGAGGCGGTCCGCGCGCGCGCCCGCGGGCCAGGAGACGGCAGGCGCCAACTGTCCAGCGGCACGAGGGGGAGAAAAGTGGTAATGGGCGGTCGTAGGGCGGGGGGGGCGGGGGGGGAGGCGCTCACACGGCGGAAGCCGCCGCGGAGCGGCTGGGGCGGCCAGCTGGTGCGGCACCTCTGGCAGCAGGCGCGGGGCGGCGTCGCGACCACACCCTGGGGCTGGGCCAGAGGCGGTAGTGCACGAAGAAGCGAAAGTCGCACGGATGGCATGCGGCCACATGCACTCGCATGGATGTCCCCACGAATGCGGCCCCAAGAAGGGCGACAAATGAAGAATCACCCGACATAACTCGGGGAAGCCACACACATGAAGAAGCGCGCAGCCTGTAACTTCTACAAATGAGAATCGGGTGCCAATAACTATGCGACGCGTCTCACCAAATAATGGCAGTCTCTGGGCGGTTGCCGATGCTTGCGCGTCGTGTTGCAGGCGTTGCTGATGGTACGGGGTAGACTATGAACTTAAGCAAAGGCGATATTGGAAGGTAAGGCTGACCAATCATTCATAGAAAACGAACCCCAGGTCCTGAGAACATCGTCGCTTCCCCCTTTTCCCCGACTCTCGCTACGCACAAATAACGTAGCTTGAAAAGAACTACCAAGAACAAATTCCGAACACACTGTGTCAATTGTTGCAAAGAGACCGGCTGTCTTCATATACGATGAACGTGTCTGGCGTGATGCAGATGTGATCTCTCGACGAGGGCTGTGTTCTTGAGTGTGTGAGCATCTCCAGCCGATCGCATGCACGATAGAGAACACTGACTGTCTTGTTCACATTGGAAACACAATAAGCAACCAATCTAGCAAACATGAAGTCTCGCATGAAGATGCGCAATATCACAAATACATTTAACGCGGCAGAGGCGGCCGCATCAGCAAACGCGCCGTGCATTTGAACGGGACAGACAGGCCAAGACGAAAACCTCGATATATCGGGTACATACCAACCAGCAAACTTGAAAGAGGACATCCTTGCTAGATCCCCAGCGCGATGATGACACGGACTTTGTGGCGCGCCCCCCCCCGAGAATGACAGCCGCCAAAGAGGAACAGGAGTCAGACGATGAGCGGGCGTGGTGACGAAGAGGCCGCGACGCGGGGGGAAAGGTCCATAATTTGATGCTTCACCAACATGGCTTCCTGGAGGTCTTGACCCCGTCGCCAAAGCCAACTTTTCATCCAGAATAATTTTTGCCGGTCCCGTGACCCCGTGAAGGCCCCAAGAGGCCGAGCACTATCACAAGCCTCTCGTCGTGTTTTTTTTGACGACGAGAATGGGGTGGGAGGACGACGAATAGGAGGATGAGGATGAGAATAAGGTTGATGACGGGCATGAGCAGGAGATGGAGGAGGAGGAAGAGGAGGACAAAGAGGAGGAGGAGGAGAAGAAGGAGGAGATGGAGGAGGAGGAGGAAGAGGACGAAGTACCCATGGGCCTCCTGCACGGCGAGGGAGCCCTCGTCCACGGAGCCGTTCCGGTGCAGGAACGCCATCGCCTCGCTCATGCGCTCCCGGGGGAAGCTCACGGTCCTGCGCCCGTGTTTGCTCGCACAGAAGGGGGCCTACAGTCCTCGCTCTCCTTCTCCTCCTCCCAGTGCTCCTCCTCCTCCTCCTGGTCCTCCTCCTCCTCCTCCTCCCCCTCTTACGGAGGAGGTCTTTGATAAGGAACCCTTGGATACGGAACCTAAGGTCTCGCGACCGATGGGAGGCAAGACGCGTGCCGCCCACCCCGCCTCGACGCAGGAAGGAACGCGCCAGGGTCTGGCCCCTCGGAGGACATTCCTTATCCAACGCCCCCACCGTATTCATCCTCCTCCCTCCCTCCCTCACTACTTCCTTCTCCTGCCCCTGTTCTCCTCCTCCTCCTCCTCCTCCTCCTCCTCCTCCTCCTTCTGCTCCTCCTTCCCGCCCACGCCCACTCGCCGTCACTCCTGGGGACGAGGCCCGCCCATAACCATCGACCCCTCGGCGAGGCGAGGCGAGGCGGCCCCAGGGCGCCAGGCCCACGGCGCGCGCCCCGCACGCCTCGCTCCTGCTGCCCCAGACCCCCGACGTCATGATCTTTCATGACGCGACCCCCAGAGGTCCAGACCCATTTTCCCCGGGACCGGCTCCTCCATCCCGAGTCGCTTTGTTGACGGCCCCGAGGCCCGGCAAGGGCCCCCAGAGGCCGAAGAGAGCGAAAAACCTCCCGTCGTGATTTTTCCATGACTCGAGGAGGTCTCCGCCTCCTCCTCCTCCTCCTCCTCCTCCTCTTCCTCCTCCTCCTCCTCGTCCTACTCACCTCATCTCCTCCTCCTTCCTCCGTCCTCCTCTCTCTCCTCCTCCTACTCCTCCTCCTCTCTCCTCCTCCTCCTCCTCCTCCTCCCCCTCCTCCACCTACTCCCCATCCTCATCTCCTACCCCTCCTCCCCTCCTCCCCCCGCGGGGGGGCGCGGGGGAGGTCTGAGGCGCGGAGGGGCCACAAGGGACCGCCCCGACCACGCCCCACGTGCCGCCGGCCCCGGGGGGCCGGCCCACGGGTGAGCGTGCTGTGCCCTGGGCGCCCCGCCGCCGCGCGGCCTCGACGAAGGCGGCCGCGGCCGCGCGGCCGCGCGGCCGGCCAGGACAGCGCGTCTGACGGTTTTGAGTCGCCCCCGCGGGGCCGCGACTCGCGTTCTCCGGGGGGAGGATACGCCCGGAAGCAGCTGGTGGGGTTTTCAGTGTTCCTCCAGCCGCCACCACCAGTTTGGGAGGGGGAGGAGGAGGTCGAGGAGGAGGAGGACGAAGAGGAGGAGGTGGAGGAGGAGGTGGAGGAGGAGGATGGAGAGGAGGAGGAGGAGGAGGAGGAGGACACCCTCCCCCTCCAACTTATGGTGGTGGTGGTGGTGGTGGCGGAAAACAGGCCCATCAGCGACATACTTCCGGAGGGGCAAGAGCAAGGGGGAGCGGACATCCCAGCGACCAGAATACGATGCGAAGCATGCGCGGAATTTTCAGATTGCCTTCAAAGAGGCGCAGGACAAAGCAGGCGACGCTGGCACAAGTTAGATGTCAGCGTGGTAGGATAAAAACTTCATCCTCCTCCTCCTCCTACTATTTGTTATGGAGAAGGCTTTATATCGAAGAACTACGCAAGCTAACTTCTCCCCCGTCCTCTCCTCCTCCTACCGACCCCCTCGCCATCTTAATCCTGCTCCTCCCCCTCTTCCTCCCCCTCACCCTGCGTCTTCTTCCTCCTATCTCTGGTCTTCTATCCCTCGCAATCCCCTCCCCCTCTCCCTCCCGCACAGAACCCAGACGTCGTATTTTTTTTACCACGTGGACCCTGAAGGTCTGGACCCCTTCCTGGGGACCAACTTTTACCCAGAGTTGTTCTTGGACAGCCCTTGGGCCTGGCAAGGGCCCCTGGGGGCCGAAACCGTCCGTCTTTTTTCTTCACATTGGGAAGAGGTGGGGGTCCTCCTCCTCCTTCTCCTCTCTAATCCTCCTCTCCTGATCCTCCTCATCCCTTCATCCTCTCATCCCATCTCCTTCTTCTCCTCCTCCTTTTCTCATCCTCCTCCCTCCCTCTCACCCTCACTCCTTCCTCACTCCTTCATCTCCTCCTCCTCCTCCTCCTCCTCCTCCTCCTCCTCCTCCTCCCCTCGGAGGCTCAACTGAGACCACGGCGGCTCTCCAGACCCCTCCCGGGGTCCATCCCGACTTGTTTTCCGGCGCAAGCCCAACCGTTGCCACGAAAGCCCCCAGGAGGCCCAAAGAGGACGAACAGCGCCAGGGAGGGCCGCTGTTGTCTCGACTGTCCCCCCTCCGATCCTCCCGCTCCCTCCCGCTCGCGATCCTGCGCTGCAGCTCCACCTGCGCGCCGACCACGGTGTCCACCACGCGCAGCAGCTCGTGGACCCCGGTGCCGTCCAGGGCGGAGACGGGGATGGCGTTCGGCGGCACGAAGTCCATCGACGGGAGGAGGTCGACCTTGTTCCACACCTCTAGGGGGAGACACGCCAGCATAAACAGACGGTCAGGAGCTTTTGATAGCGTGTCGCTCCGCTCCGCGGGGCGGGAGGCTCGGAAAGGATCGGGACGTTGACGCTTTGGAATTGGGGAGTGGTGAGCGCATCGCGCGGAAGCATGGCGCGCCAGAACTGGCGGCGCGACGCGCCAATCCAAAACTCCCGACTGTAAGACGTCGGAGGTCCGCGCGGATTTCTCGAACTGGCTCCGGATCCCGTCCCTGGCGCGCGGAGCGCGCCAGGGGCGTCGCCGGAGGCGCCGCCAGGGGGATCGGATCCGGCGCCGACCCGAGGAGCTCCGCGCAGGCCTCCGAAAACCCACGGTCGGGACCTTCTGCTTAGCGTGTCGCGGCGGCGGCCCCGGCGACACGCTGTGCCCTGCAAACGCATGGCGTTTCGCTCCGCTCCGCTGGGCGGAGGGCTGGGGAACAACTCAAGACGATGCCTCTGTGGAATTGAGACGAGGATAGCGTGTCGCGCCGAAGCGCGGTGGGCCAGAACTGGCGGCGACACACACCAAGCCAAACTTCCTGATTGTATGCCGATGCAGCTTTTCTTCGCCAGACCTCGACAACCCTGGCCTCGATCTGCTGGTGGGTCATGCCCGCCTGCTCCAGCGTGCGCAGCACGACGTCCTTCTGCAGCTTCCTCTGCGGGTGAGATATGTCCCTGACGTGCAGCAGTATGTCGCACTGCACCATGTCCTCCAGCGTGCTGGAGAAGGCGGTGATAATGTGGTGCGGCAAGTGCTGAATGAACCCGATGCTGTCGCCGATGATGGCGTGCGCGCCGCTCGGCAGCCGCACGCTCCGCAGCGTGGTATCCAGCGTCTGGAAGAGGATGTCGCGCTCCACCAGGCCCGCATCTGTGATCCGATTCATCAGCGTGGTCTTGCCCACATTGGTGTACCCGACGATGCCGATCATCGGGACGCCTTTCCTTTTCTTCCGCTGCATTTCCTTGTGTTTCCTCTCCGTCTCCGTGGCGCGCTTCAGCTTGCGTTCGGCCTGCGCCAGCAGCGCCCTCTCCGTCTCGAAGGGGCTGGTCTCGTAGTGGCGCTGAATCTCGACGCCGCCCTTGAAGCCCGTGACCTCGTGGTGATCCCGCCCCCTGCCGCCCTCCTCATCCTCTACTGCGGCAAGCTGGCGTCGAGACGACTGGCTTCGGACACTGCATTGATTGTCCAGCCTGGATCGATCGCCCCTCTCAGATGGAGGAGGAGGAGGAGGAGGAGGAGGAAGAGGAGGAGGAGGAGGAGGAGGAGGAGGAGGAGGAGGAGGAAGAGGAGGAGGAGGAGGAGGGGGAGGGCGAGGAGGAGGAGGAGGAGGAGCAGGACCGCTCGAGGCCGATGCCGCAGGCCACGGGCGGCGCTCCACTCGGGGGAAAACGAGCCGAGACGACGGCAGCTCAAAGTTCGGCCCCCCGGACCTCGCCCGCGGTGCAAACGCGCGCAATATCCGGCCTGCGTCCAGCAATGTTTTTACCTAACAGCGTTTGCTGAAAGGTTTCTAGTGGTTTCAAAAGAGAGCATCTGGACTCCTCAGGGGGGTCTGGGCGGGTGCCGGGGAGGAGAACCGGGAATCGTTTTTCGCGAACAGTCACACACTTCGTGCTCTTCGACTTCCCAAAACTCCATTCCCGGGCCACATTCTGGAGAACCGGGAACAGAGCCAGGCTCGCTTTTCGCCAACAGTCACACACTTCGTGCTCTTCGACCTCCCAGAACTCCACTCCCGGGCCACATTCTGGATGCCCGGAGCCAAGTGTAGGCCACTTCGTGGTCTTCGACTTCCCAGAACTCCATTCCCGGGCCACATTTTGGATGCCCGGAGCCAACTGTAGGCCACTTCGTGGTCTTCGACTTCCCAAAACTCAATTCCCGGGCCACATTTTGAATGCCCGGAGCCAACTGTAGGCCACTTCGTGTTCTTCTATTTCCCAGAACTCCATTCCTGGGCCACATTTTGAATGCTGAGGCAGGCTGATGCTGCGGCCGAGGCAGGCTGAGGCTGAGGCAGGCTGAGGCTGAGGGCGAGGCTGAAGGCAGACTGAGGCTGAGGCTGAAGCAGACTGAGGCTGAGGCTGAGGCAGGCTGAGGCTGAGGCTGAAGCAGGCTGATGCTGAGGCAGGCTGAGGCTGAGGCTGAGGCTGATGCAGGCTGAGGCTGAGGCAGGCTGAGGCTGTGGCCGAGGCTGAAGGCAGACTGAGGCTGAGGCTGAAGCAGGCTGAGGCTGAGGCTGAGGCAGGCTGAGGCTGAGGCAGGCTGAGGCTGAGGCTGAGGCAGGCTGAGGCTGTGACTGCGACTGCCGTTGCCGCTGCGACTGTCATCGCGGATGCGACTACGACTGCGAGAACAGCAGAATTCTACAACTGGATTTTCATTTGAATCTTAAGGGGAATGCTTTCAGATATGCTTCTACATATCGCTGTTAGGTTGCTTTGCCGGGATAAGTTTTTACCTAACAGCGTTTGCTGATAGGTTTCTAGTAGGCTCAAAAGAGAGCATCATGACTCCTCAGGGGGGTCTGGGCGGGTGCCGGGGAGGAGAACCGGGGATGGGAATCATTTTTTTCGCCACAGTCACAACTTTTGCTCCCCCCTTCGGAACCCTCCCATAAACTCACTCCCGGCCACATTCCTCCTCGCCCTTTCACCCCCTCTCCTTCCGTTCCCCTCCTACCTGCCCCCTGTCTCTACCACCGCCCTCCCATTCCTCCTCTCTCCGTATCTCTGTTTCCCTGCTCTGTCCCCTTCCTCGCTCTTACTCTATACATTTATCCCCCTTGCGCGCCCGAGCTTATGCTCCTCTCCCTTCTTTCCTTTTTCCCTCTTCTCTCTCCTCCACCCTCCCATTAAAGATTTATCGGAGAACCTGGGAACAGAACCGGGAATCGTTTTTCGCCAACAGTCACACACTTCGTGCTCTTCGACCTCCCAGAACTCCATTCCCGGGCCACATTTTTTTACGCCTTTAGTATTGGGAGAACCGGGAACAGAGCCGGGCTCGCTTTTCGCCAACAGTCACACACTTCGTGCTCTTCGACCTCCCAGAACTCCACTCCCGGGCTACATTTTGAGTGCCCGGAGCCAACTGTAGGCCACTTCGTGCTCTTCGAGTTCCCAGAGCTCCATTCCCCGGCCACATTTTGGATGCCCGGAGCCAACCAACTGTAGGCCACTTCGTGCTCTTCGATTACCGAGAACTCCATTCCCGGGCCACATTTTGGATGCCCGGAGCCAACTGTAGGCCACTTCTTGCTCTTCAAGTTCCCAGAACTCCATTCCTGGGCATGATTTTGAATGCCCGGAGCCAACTGTAGGCCACTTCGCGTTCTTCTAGTTCCCAGAACTCCACTCCTGGGCCACATTTTGAATGCTGAGGCAGGCTGATGCTGCGGCCGAGGCAGGCTGAGGCTGAGGCAGGCTGAGGCTGAGGCCGAGGCTGAAGGCAGACTGAGGCTGAGGCTGAAGCAGACTGAGGCTGAGGCTGAGGCAGGCTGAGGCTGAGGCTGAGGCTGAGGCAGGCTGATGCTGAGGCAGGCTGAGGCTGAGGCTGAGGCTGATGCAGGCTGAGGCTGAGGCAGGTTGAGGCTGAGGCCGAGGCTGAAGGCAGACTGAGGCTGAGGCTGAAGCAGGCTGAGGCTGAGGCTGAGGGAGGCTGAGGCTGAGGCAGGCTGAGGCTGAGGCTGAGGCAGGCTGAGGCTGAGGCTGTGATTGCGACTGCCGTTGCCGCTGCGACTGTCATCGCGAATGTGACTACGACTGCGAGAACAGCAGAATTCTACAACTGGATTTTCATCTGAATCTTCAAGGGAATGCTTTCAGATATGCTTCTACATATCGCTGTTAGGTTGCTTTGCCGGGATAATTTTGCCTTGTCGCCATTTCGTCTCCGTTCCAATGCGTCACTAGCCACGGGGCCTCAACCGCCACCCCCACAGCTCCGGAACCGGGTACTGCGAGGGCTTTGGTTTTGGCCGCACATCTGCGTCCAGCAGTGGTGACGAAGGGGACCTCCGAAGGCCAACGACTGAAAGGTCGGGCCTGTCCCCCTACAGGCGGATGTTGGACGGAAAATTGAAAACATAGTCAAAACATACTCCGAGAATGCCGAATACTATTTTTTGGGGCGATGTTTGAATATCCATCCTGTAGAGGGACAGGCACGACTTAGAACTACCGCCGTCTCAACTCGCCCCCCCTCGGATCAAGCGTGAACGCCCGCGCTGGGATCGCCTCCGCGCCGACGCGGCGCAACACCTGCCGTGCTTCGGAGACGACCGGGGGGCCTGAGCCCTGAGAAAAGTAGCGGGCAAAAAATCCTCCCCCACAATAACCACCCCGACAAGCGAGGCCGTTCAGTAAACGAACCTAGCGAAGGAATCGAACATGGCAGGACTTTTAGTAAACGCCCAGGGCCGTTTGGTCAACGCCCGTTGTCCGGTCCCGGTGGTTTTCCCTCCCTTGAAATCGGTCAAGGAGGCGGGATGAAGCCAACTTCGCTCAAAATCAGTCCCCGGACCCTTCCGGGGGACCATCCGCCGCAATTTTTACGACGGATTCGTCTCCGGCGTCCCTGGGGCCCGAACAAAGCCCCCGGGGACCGAAAGAGACAGAAAACCGGCTCGAACCCAGAATCTCGGATCTCGCCTCGCCCTTCTTGCTGGCCGGAACCAATGCAAAGCCACCTCAGACCCCCGGCCCGCTCGGGCCCGCGTCGACGCGGCGCAGAACCTGCCGTGCCCCTCCCTGCTGTCAAGCAGAGCAGCGGCCTCGTGGTAGGGCCCGATCTGCTCCTGCAGCACCTGCAGCACCTGACGCAGCCTCGCCTTGGTCCCGCAGGTGAGCCGCGTCTTAAGGTACTGCAGGCGCGCCATGCCCGC